AAGCAGTCCACACACCAGACTCATAGAATGACAATCACTTTAAATAACACTCTGACCTCAGAATTAGCCCTTAAGGCATTTGGATGTGGCTGAAAAGCCCATGAGAGCAATTCAGGCATGGAAAGCCAAGACACTGTGACAAAAATTATTATACATAAAGGATCTTTGTGAGTGAAACTCCAGTGGAAAGAAGGGGCCATCAAAGAAGGATGTGCTTTTCTCTGTAGGGAGGAGAGGACTTGCACTTTAATTATGACCTTGTCGAAATACTGACAGTTTGTGGTCACAAAAGTTTTCCATAGCCTTGACAGCTCATGGCCAGAGCCTTGGGTGATCACTGACATTATAAATAAGGATGTTAATTGTTAAATTAACAACAGAAGTCACTGTGCACTTATTCCCCATGTAGGACCTCTGTCCTTAATGAGTTGTCCACTACAATTAACTGTAAAACTTGTTCTCAAACAGTACTTTTTACATTGTGTGTGTATGTGGGGGGTGCAAACTGTTGAAATCTTTACTTAGTATAGAGTTGGTCTTCTGTATATAAAGTTAATTAAAATAAATCTTAATGAAGAATGGGATGGGAGCGGGAATAGTCGGTGGGATAGGAGTGGGGGTGGGAGGGTGGGGGAACTACTATAGTCTTAAAGTTGTACCTTTGAAATTTGCATTCATTAAATAAAATCTTTTAAAAAAAAGTTCACTAGAGGGACAGCCATCATGCCTGTGACATTAGCATCCCATAACAGCACTGGTTTGAGTGCCAGGAACTCCACTTCCAATTCAGCTCTCTGCTAATGAGCCTGGGAAGGAAGCAGAGAATGGTCAATACTTAGGCACTTGCTACCCACGTGGGAGACCTGGATGAAGCTCCATGACCCTGGGTTCAGCCTGGACCAGCCCCAGCTGCAACGGGAGTGAACTCGCAGATGGAATATCCCTGTAACTCTGTATTTCAAATAAATAAAAAAGGACTAATCCAAATTCTTCTCAAACTATTCAAAACAATTGAAAGAGAGGGAATCCCCTCAAACGCCTTTCATGAGGCCAGCATCACCTTAATTCCAAAACCAGAAAGATACAAGAGAGAACTACAGATCAATATCCCTGAGGAACATACACACAAAAATCCACAATGAACTACTAGCTAATTGAACCCAACAACACATCAAAATATCATCCACCTGGACAAAGTGGGATTTATCCCAGGGACGCAGGGATGGTTCAATATATGCAGAAAAATAAATGTGATACATCACATTAACAAACTGAGCAATAAAACAATATAACTGGGGGCAGCACTGTGTTGTAGCAGGTAATGCCACCGCCTGCAGTGTCAGCATCCCATATGGGTGTTGGTTAGAGTACCAGCTGCTCCTCTTCCAATCCAGCTCTCTGCTATGGCCTGCGAAATCAGTAGCAGATGGTCCAAGTCCTTGGGCCCCTGCACCCATGTTGGAGACCTGGAGGAAGCTCCTGGCTCCTGGTTTTGGATCAGCCCAATTTCGGCCATTGTGGCCATCTGGGGAGTGAACCAGAGGATGGAAGATCTCTATCTCTCTCTGCCTTTGCCTCTCTGTAGCTCTGCCTTTCAAATAAATAAATAAATAAATAAATAAATAAAACTATATGATTAACTCAATAGATCAGATAAAGCATTTGATAAAATACAATATTCTTTCATGATAAAATCCTTAAGCAAATTGGGTTAGAAGGAACATTCTTCAACACAATCGAGTCAATATATGACAAAGCAATGGCCAGCATCATATTGAATGGGCAAAAGATGGAAGAATTTCCACTAAGATCCAGAACCAGGCAAGGATGCCCACTTTCACAATTGCTATTCAATATTGTCCTGGAAGTTTTAGCCAGAGTCATTAGGCAAGAAAAAGAAATCAAAGGGATACCAATTGGAAAGAAGGAAGTCAAATTATCCCTGTTTGCTCACGATATGATTCTATACATAGGGGAACCAAAAGACTCCACTAAGACTATTAGAACTGGTAAGCATATTTGACAAAGTTGCAGGATATAAAATCAATGCACAAAAAGCCAATAGCATTCATAGACACTAACAATGCCATGGTTGAGAGAGAACTTGTAAGATTAGTACCATTCACAATAGCTAACAAAAAGATTAAATACCTTGGGGTAAATTTATCCAAGAATGTTAAAGATCTCAACAATGAAAATTACAAACCATCAAGGATAGAAGTACAAGATGATGCAAAAATGGAAAGTTCTTCCATAGTCATGGATTGGAAGAATTAATGTCATCAAAATGTCCATACTACCCAAAGCTATTTGCAGATTCAATGCAATCCCAATAAAAATACCAGGAACATTTTTTCATATCTAGGAAAAAAGGTCCTAAAATTCATATGGAAACACAAGAGACCCCAAATAGCTAAAGCAATCTGTATAAAAACAAAGTCAGAGGATTCACAATAACAGACCTTAAGACATACTGTGGGGCTGTTTTAATTAAAACAACCTGGTACTGGCACAAAGGTAGACATGTGGACTAACGGAACAGAATAAAAATTCCAGAAATTGGAGCTGGCATTGTTGCAAAATGGGTTAAGCCATCACCTGTGATGCTGCCATCCTGTATACACACTGGTTGGACTCCCTCTCCACTTCTGATCCAGCTCCCTGCTAAAGTGCCTGGGAGAGCAGAGGAAGATGTCTCAAGTGATTTGGCTTCTGCCACCTACATGGGAGACTTGGAAGAAGCTCCTGGGTCCTGGCTCCAGCATAGCCCAGCCCTGGCTCTTGTGGCCATTTGGAGAGTGAACCAATAAATGGAAGAACTCTAACTCTCTCTCAACTCTCTCTCTCTCTCTCTCTCTCTTTCTCTTTTTCTCTTTCTCTTTTTCTCTTTCTCTTTCTCTTTCTCTTTCTCTCTCTGCCTAAACTAATAAACCTATCTACAATCTACAACGAACTAATCTTTGACAATGGAGCTAAAATCATTCCATGGAAATAGCACAGCCTCTTCAACAAATGGTGTTGGGAAAGTTGGGTCTCCACATGCAGAAATATGAAACAAGATCCCTACCTTACACCCTATACAAAAACAAACTCATAGTGGATCAAGGATCTAAACCTAAGACCTTAAACTATCAAATTACTAGAGGAAAACAGAATAAATGCTGAAAGATAACAATAGGCAAAGATTTCTTGGAAAAATATCCCAAAAGCACAAGCAATAAAAGTAAAAATAGACAAATGGAATTACATCAAGCTAAGAAACTTCTGTACAGAAAAGAAAACACTGAATCAAGTGAAAATGCAACCAACAGAATGGGAGAAAATATTTGCAAACTATGCAAAGCATTAATATCCAGAATATATAAGGAACTCAAGAATCTCAACAACAACAAAACAAACAATCCAGTCAGGAAATAGGCTGAAGTCATTAATAAGCATTTTTCCCAAAAGATGAAATACAAATGTTTGACAAACACATGAAAAGGTGCTCAGGATCACTAGCCAACCAGGAAATACAAATAAAAAATACAATGTTTCACCTCACTCCAGTTAGAATAGCTCTCACACAGAAATCAAAATACAATAAATGCTGGCAAGGATGTGGGGAAAAAGGTACACTAATACACACTGTTGGTTGGAATGCAAACTAATACAACCGTTGTGGAAGACAGTTTGGGTATTCCTTAGAAATCTGAAAATAGATCTATCATAAGACCCAGCAATCCCACTCTTGGGAATATACCCAAACAAAATGAAATCAGCATATGAAAGAGTTGTCTGTACCCCCATGTTTATTACAGCACATTTCACAATAGCTAAGACATGGAATCAATCCAAATGTCCATCAACTGATAGCTGGATAAAGAAAATGTGGTATATATACACTATAGAATACTACTCAGCCATAAAGAAGAATGAAATCCTGATATTTGCAACAAAATGGATGCAACTAGAGAGCATTATGCTCAGTGAAACAAGCCAGTCCCAAAAAGATAAATATGTTTTTTTCTGATATGTAATAACTGATATATAGAATATAAAAACAACAAAAAAACTATGCCTTAGAATATATGAGTGAAATTGACATGTTGGTATTTGATTATTGTTTCTAGTCCTTGTCGATATTCTTGTAGAATACTAGTCTTTCTACTTTTTATTTGTTGAACTCTTTCATTAGTGGAGCATTACGCCCGTGATTATAAAGTAAATTTACAAATATATTATTGCAAATATTTAAAAAGAAAAAATAAAAGAAGGAGAGGGAGGGAGGGGGGAAGACAAGTATCATTATGTTCTTACAAATTATATCTATGAAGTACTTGAAAATCTGTTCTCTTTACATTAATAAAAATAAATAAAAAAAAGAGGTCCAAAGACTAGATCCTGGGAATCGCATATTTAGAATATGTTTCTAAACTCTATATTAATCTAACATTCATCAAATATTCTCAGCTTCTGAGAATACATAAATGAACAAAACACACAAAATCAAATTCTCCTGCTTTCATGAAACTTACATAACTAGTAAACCCTGGAGTGACTATTTCAGGAAGGATGGAAAGGTTAACTCTACAAAATTCTGCTTAGATTTCTATTAAAATGAGAACATAAAAAATGACAATTAGCTTTAATAAACCCCTTGTGTTACCTGGATACCATCTAAATTTAGATGATATTCATCTGGACCTCTTTTGTGAACTCTTGACCTCTGCCTATTTCTCACTTTGATTCTCAAAGATGTCCCATATGTCCAAAAGCATTTACCTTAACCTACTCCTGTAGGGCTCTCTATCTCAGTGAACTGCATCACCATCTACTCATTTGCCCAACCCAGAAACACGAAAGTTACTTTTAATCTCTTTCTACTTTCTGCCCCATTACACTTACAATCCATCATCAATTCTATTAAATGCACCTAAAATACAAGGAAGGCAAGGATATGAGGCATTTATATGCATTTGGTCCATCAAGATTCTGCTTTTCCTCTGCTTCTTCTCCAGTGTTCAGTTCAAGAAGGTGGTTTTCCAGGAATTTACTGATGGCTCATTCACTCAGCCCTTATATCGTGGAGAACTAAATGAACACTTAGGAATCTTGGGGCCATATATAAGAGCAGAAGTTGAAGATAATATTGTGGTAAGTTAAGGATAATAGAATTAAAGGAAAATGTAGCATATTTATTTTATTTCTGGTTATAAATAATGTATTCTTACATTTGAAAAATAAAAAAATATAGAAAAATAAACTCTTAGTTTTCATTTTGGTGTATATCCTTTTTCCTAGGTATTTTCTTACTATGTATTAAAATTGATAACATTCATTGTCTTCTTGGTTTTCACAAAATACTATGTTATAAACATTGCTTATATCATTCAAAACACTTCCTATGTATTTTTTTAAAGACTTATTTATCTTACTTGAAAGAGTTACACAGAGAGAGGAGAGGCAGAGAGAGAGAGAGAGAGAGAGAGAGAGAGAGAGGTCTTCCATCCACTGGTTCACTCCCCAATCAGCTGGAACTGCACCCATCTGAAGCCAGGAGCCAGGAGCTTCTTCCGGGTCTCCATGCAGGTGCAGGGGCCCAAGGACTTGGGCCATCCTTTACTGCTTTCCCAGGCCACAGCAGAGAGCTGGGTCAAAAGTTCAGCAGCCGGGACTTGAACTGGCGCCCATATGGGATGCTGACACGGCAGTTGGCAGCCCCACCCGCTACACCACAGAGCCGGTCCCCTCCTATGTATTTCTAAATGGCTGCATAATTATATGAATTTTTGGAACCATGGTTTACTTAACCATTTACTTTGAATAATAGTTTAGACAATTTTTTTTTCATTTAAGAAATAAAGCTTTGATCACAACCCTTTTCCTAGGATAAAATACTAGGAATGCAGTGTTTCAAGTTTTTCTCTTAATCTGTCAATATCCTTTGTATATTTGTCTCTTTGGGGGGATACCTTTCTAATTAGTTATATAGCTTCATATAGTAGAAATTAACCATTGATAATTTTAGTGAAAAGTATTTTTCCAGGTTTATTATCTTTTGAGTTTATATATGATGGTTTTTGAAATACAATGGGTTTGAATTCTTAATTAGTAATCTATCAATCTTTCCTTTTTACTTTGGAAGTGTTTTTAAGTGCTTCAGAGTTTCTCTTTTACAACTTTGAGTTCATGACTTAAATTTAGAATTCAAAAGTTCCTCAGGGGCCCAGCATTGTGACACAGCTAGTTAGGCCACTGCTTGCAACACTGGCATCCTGCTCCTGATCCAGCTTCCTGAAAGTGAGCCTGGGAAGGCAGCAATAGATGGCCCAAGTACTTGGGTCCTTGCCACCCACATGGGAGACCAGGATGGAATTTCTGGCTCCTGGCTTTAGCCTAGTCTAGTCATGGTTGTTGCAGGCATTTGGGGAATGAACCAGCAGATGGAAGATATCTCCTTTTCCCTCTTCCACTCCCTCTTGTCCCTATGCTTTTCAAATCAATAAATAAGAGTTCTTTTTAATTCCTCAGAATTTCCTGCATAGGTTTTTAGGTTTGGGTTCTAATAACTGCCATCCTCTGTACTACTTTCTTTGTTATATTAAAAACTTGGAAAAGGACAAAATATGAGTGTTCTTATTAGGGATGCAAACTCTAAGTAAAGAGCTTTAGGATCCTAAAAGATCATCGTTATTGGTTTGTTTATTTTGTTTTGTTTTGCTATGCAGGTCACTTTCAAAAATATGGCTTCTCGTCCCTACTCCTTCTACTCTAGCCTCATTTCTTATAAGGATGATCAGAGACAAGGAGCCGAACCTAGGAAAAACTTTGTCAAGCCTAATGAAACCAAAACTTACTTTTGGGAAGTGCAACATCATATGGCACCCACTAAAGATGAGTTTGACTGCAAGGCCTGGGCTTATTTCTCTGATGTTGATCTGGTAAGCAGATCTCCATAGTGCTGGCCATGTTCAGGTTTAAAAGAAATGGTCTTTGCGTTGTGTACTAAGAATTTGGGTATTTATCCTAAAAGTAATGAGAGGCTTTAAATAAGAGAGATGACATCATATTTATGTTTTAGAAATTTCATTATAGAATCTACTAAAGAGAATGAATTGCAGTGTGGGAAGATGGAGAGCAGACTGGAATACCATAAAAGTTGATGAAAAATCCAGTCTGGTTCATATGTGAGAGAGCTATACTCAGGATTTATGTCTTCCCTCCCTAGGAAAAAGATATGCACTCAGGCTTGATTGGGCCCCTTCTCATCTGTCATACTAACACACTGAACCCTGCTCATGGAAGACAAGTGACTGTGCAGGAATTTGCTCTGTTTTTCACTATCTTTGATGAGACTAAGAGCTGGTACTTCACTGAAAACATGGAAAGGAACTGCAGGGCCCCCTGCAACATCCAGACAGAAGACCCTACTTTTAAAGAGAATTATCGCTTCCATGGTAATGTATCCCATACCCAAATATTATTCACTGTGAAATGCAGCATGCACTTTTACAAGTAAGCCTTGAGCCAGAGACTTGAGCACTATGAATTGAGAGTATATGTAAGGGAGTAGAATTCTCATGGATGTCAGCATTTTTGGTGGAGTAGAAGGAAAGAAATTTCTATAGTCCATTTTAACAGTCTTCTCTGTGTTTTCCAGCAATTAATGGCTATGTGATGGATACACTCCCTGGCTTAGTGATGGCTCAGGATCAAAGGATCCGATGGTATCTGCTCAGCATGGGCAGCAATGAAAACATCCATTCTATTCATTTCAGTGGGCATGTGTTCACTGTTCGGAAAAAAGAAGAATATAAAATGGCAGTGTACAACCTCTACCCAGGTATGCACCAGTTTGTGCTCTTTCTTCTGCCTACTGTGCTTTACCTTAAATGGTCTAGGCACTTGAAGATACAGTCAGTAAACAAAGAAGACAAGCTCTAAGCTCTCAGGTAACTTCCTTTTTCAAGTAACTTTAATGTTATATAGAGAACTAAATAAATTAGTAAATGAACAAAATAATTTCAGATACAGGAAAACTGCTATAAAGAAAACAGAACAGAATAAATGGATAATTAATGTCATGGCACATTCTTAAGAAAAAATGTATTCATTCCTTTTCATGTTCCATCTCAAATCCCACATGACACCAATATAGCAATTTGTATGTGTAACAAGTGTACTGACTAATCACTACTCACAGTGTTAATCAAAACACAATTTTATTTGGTTCTCTGTTGTCCCTTTAAAACAGATTTAATAGTAGAGGTACATTCTACATCAACAGTCAGGACAAGAGCTGATCAAGTCACGGTTTCTCTAGTGTCCATTTCACTTCAATAGGTTTTCCCTTTGGTGCTCAGTTAGTTGTCGCCAATCAGGGAGAACATCTTCTGTATATAAAGATAATTGAAAATGAATCTTGATGTGAATGGAATGGGAGAGGGAGTGGGGGATGGGAGGGGTGTGAGTGGGAGGGAAATTATGGGGGGGAAGCCATTGTAATCCATTAACTGTACTTTGAAAATTTATATTTACTAAATAAAAAATAAATAAATAAAATAGTAGAGGTAAACTTCCCCTGTTTATTAAAAAAAATCTGATAAGCCCTGTGACTTCTCTGCTGACTCTTCGGTAATAAATACAGTTCAAGTCAGGAATTACAAAGTCTACTCCAAAATACTAATCAAAATTCAGAACTTGGTTTAAGTTCAGTCTTCACTCCCCCAACTTAATCCTGCATCAGCTGGAAGCCTCACTGGAAAAGGAGACATAGTTGAATCATCCGTTTCACTACCTTGTGCTTGTGCTTCTCCTAACGCCTTGCTAACTGCTATTGTCAGCATTGATAAGTTAAAGGTAAGGGAATATGACAGTTCTTACCTATTTACAATTGACACCATTGCTATAAGCTATTTCATACTGTTTGCACTGGCAGATTTTTTTTTTTTAGTTTAATACACAAAGTGAAAAACTGTAGTATAAAAGCATCTCACATTTTTTGGAAAAAAAAAAAAAAAAACCTTCTAAATTCCCAAGTAGACAATAGAGATTCACAATCCTTTATCTGAAATCCTTGAAGCCAAATGTTTCAGGAACAAGAAATATTTAGATTTTAGGAAGATCATTAAGTGCAGATACCATACTGTATCGATCCTCAGCAGAATCTGGCAGCACTCCTCTTGCCCCCTCCAGTGATCACGAGTAACTAGTATTACTAGTTCTGCAGCAAAATAAATCAATATTCACACTAAATCGAATAAGTAGAGTCAGTGTCAGTTCGGATTATATTTGCAAGTGAGTTTTGTCATCAGGCTTATGAAAACCTTGTTTTCGTAGCTTTTTGGATTTTGGAATTGTAATTACAAACAAGGGATTGCAGATATTTATTAATGTATATGATAAGACCCAAAATATTATTTAAATATATAATTTTTTATAAATAAAAAAGCTTATAAGCTTTCAAACACATTACAAATTAACAGGTATATTCTTTCATACTAGTAAATGTACATTTTAAATTCATATACACATAGCATGCAACATGATTCATGAGTGTCAACAGGTATTAAAGGCAAAGATGCAGAATCCCTCTCCGTAAGAAGAGAATTTTTAAGTGTGCAGTAAAAATTAAAAATGAAATTAAGCCAAATCCTTATGATGCCACAAAATGCACTTGTTGACTACAACACAAGGAAATAGGGTCTACTCTTCATGAACTGCCATTTTGCTTGGAAGCAGTCCCTTGCACAGAAACACAGATAGACAACTTAAAACATCTTAGATGAGGTTCTTCTAAGTTTGGCCTTATGATCAAAAATGAAAACTTTAAAGGGTATTTTTAGCAGTTAAATAAATAATAATTTATCAAGTTTGAAGGCAATGGGGTCATAATGATGATCCTAAGTAGGTGTAGTAATTTTATTTTATTTTTATTTGACAGATAGAGTTAGACAGTGAGTGAGAGACACAGAGAAAGGTCTTCCTTCTGTTGGTCCACCCCCCAAATGGTTGCTACGGCCGGAGCTACGCTGATCCGAAGCCAGGAGCCAGGTGCTTCTTCCTGGTCTCCAACGTGTGTGCAGGCGCCCAAGCACTTGGGCCATCCTCCACTGCCCTCCCGGGCCACAGCAGAGAGCTGAACTGGAAGAGGAGCAACCGGGACTAGAACCCAGTGCCCATATGGGATGCTGGCACCACAGGTGGAGGATTAACCAAGTGAGCCAGGGCGCTGGCCCCATAGGTGTAGTAGTAAAACAAATATTTAAATAAGACCATTGACTTTTTATAAAATCCGAACTGTTCAGAGCTTAAAATTACTCAAAATCAAAATATTGTGCTTATAAAATCATGCATAGTTTATGATCAGAGCTATTTCTCCATTTGGAGTGTTTGAAGATGGGTTTCATGGAGGAAAAAAAAAGAAATTTCTAACTTCTTACTGGCAGACATTTAAAGCAGGGCACTTTCAGAGACTCTTCAGAGATTTCCTTCTGAAACTCTCAGCAGTGAAATCACTTGACCTGGTTGGTTCTACCTTTATTCCTTGGTCCCTCGGCATTCACTTCCATGTTCTTTCTACTGGAGCAATGTTACCCTTCTAAGCAGCCCTAATGGACTGGACCTAAGACCTTACCTTGACTTCTCTCTCTCTCAGAACCCAGATCCAATCAATGGGAAATCCAGCAGTTGCTCTGAAAAACCTAGGGAGTATAGGCCAATCCTGATGTGGTTGTATTATCCTGTCTCCTCCACCCAAGTGCTCCATCACATGTCTCATTTTCTAGGAGACAGAAGGCCAGAACTCGATCTCCAGTATCTCCAACTATAGGAATTACATAACAACCACTTTAGGCTTAAAGGATCCAAGAGTAATGGAACTGAATTTTGTGTATCTCCCTTGATATTCTGCATAAATCAGTGTATAACATGCTCATTTTTTAGTGAAAAGAAATAATTTTTATTTGTTTTGGTTTTAATGAGGTGTTTTTGAAACAGTGGAAATGCTACCATCCAAAGCTGGAATTTGGCGCGTAGAATGCCTTATTGGCGAGCACCTACATGCTGGGATGAGCACTCTTTTTCTGGTGTACAGCAAGAGTGAGTAGCACTGTCGGCAGAAGCTCCCTGCTTCCCCAGCTGACTTCTATACAACTTTCTTCCTTCCTGGATTGGTTGGTTGCCTATGTCAACAAATAAATAGAAGCTGACAGAATTATGAAATCTAAAAGGAATAGTGCTGATAAAATCATCAGAGTCCTCAAGGAAGGGTGGATAACTTTTGAAGTTTGACCCTAAAAACTCTAACATTTAATGAACCAATGCTAAAAATAAAAACAAATTTCCTTATTTTCATACCTTAGTGAAACTCCAAGATCTCCAGTAGCAGATTTTTGAAGTTAATTTTGATAGTTACTATAGATAACTTATATAAATATTACTTGATAATGTTTGGGTATTTAACCCTAAACAAGAGAATCACTAGTCTACTTATGTATGGACTCTAATTTCTTCAGCTGCAAAATGTCAATAGTTTTTGCACCCATCTGTTAGGATGAATTAAATAAAATAGCGTAATAACAGATTTAGCACTGTTATTGACATATCATAAACACTAAAAATTTCTTGGTGTTCTCTAGTTTTCATGGACTTAAATTTAATGAGCTAAATTCTGTGCACTTCTGTTTGATTTCAGATTGTCAGATTCCCCTGGGGATGGCTTCTGGACACATTCAAGATTTTCAGATTACAGCTTCAGGACAATATGGTAAATACTACTATTTTTGCTTTAAGAACTGGGATGATTTTAGCTCTTTTATTTCTACTGGAGAGTCTCAGACAATCAACCTATTTCCATGCTTCTATTAATTCTACTTCATAGATGCCTCTCAAATCTTTTCCTCCTCTTTTTCTACTGTAACCATTTTAATTCAGTCCACCTTAATTTTTAACTTGGGCAAGAATACTGCCTCTCTAAGTGCCCTCCTTATGTTCAGCAGTGTTCCCCTGGAGTCCATTCTCTTCACTATAGCGGGAAGCTATAATTTTCTATGAGCAGTGATAGTAAAGCTTGATATCATCTATAGAGAGTTCTTAAACATTATTTTAGTGCAAAGGCCAAATCTAGCCCTTCATCTCATTTTGCATGGCATGTGAAATATGAATAATTTTCTACTTTTAAGTATTTGAAAAGGAGGCTTGCGAGTTATTTAATTAAATTTCAGAAAATAGAGTGGGCAAGAAGGACTAGCAAAGTGCTTAGATAATATGTTATGAAGTCTTTTTACCTTATCTTCTCCACAGCTAGGATTAACCTTCAGCAAAATATTGATTTTATTCCTAAGAGTCTAGGACCAACAAAGCTAGCTGAATCTAATCTCTCTCTTCTTTCTTGGGCAAAGGACAGTGGGCCCCAAAGTTGGCCAGACTTCATTATTCTGGATCAATCAATGCCTGGAGCACCAAAGATCCCTTTTCCTGGATCAAGGTCAGAAAACTTAATCAATCATGGAAAAGTTATTGCATTTCATCACATAATCACATATATATTTTGTATCTATACCTGTATATATGTATCTATCTACATACCTCCTTTGTACTGCAGTCATTTCTATCAAAGAACACTTGAAGAGCTTCAGTTGAAGAGCAGAATGGCTTATGCTTTGTACAAAACAATCAAGAATTCTATACCACTATGTGGTAGGAAGCATCTACTTAGTCTAATCTGATAAAATAAGTTGGAATTGATACCTGAAACAATGTCTTTAGGTGAACTTGATTGATTTAAAGGACTGTCTTTCAGATTTTCTCACTTCCCCATTTCCTCTAGAGCAGTGCTGTCTAACAGAAATATAATGCAAATCACATATGTAATTTTACATATTCTAGCAGTCACAATAAAAATGCTAAGTTCATTTTAATAATATATTTTATTTAACCTAATATATTCAAAAATATTGTCATTTCAACATGTGATCAATCAGGCCTAGGATCCTTTCAAGAGCAGATAGGAACTTTGGGTCCCTTCCAGACCACATGAGAGCTCAGGGCAGCTTGTAAGGGCCAACTCAGCTTCTTCTGTCTAAACACAAAGTGAGGTTTCTTCTAGAGCCCCAAAGAGGAAATGGAAAAAAATTTTCTGCTTCTAGTTTTGCTTTCCACTTGTACCTGTAGCCCAGAGAACTAATGCACACATGTAGTACCACCTAGTTCCCCTGCCTCCAACTTCTCATGGTATATCAGCTTTCTCTTCTTAGTTGGCTGAGTACATTCCCCTACATATTTTCCTTCTGTGAAGGACTGCATATACTCTTCCATTTTTCCTGAGAATAAAATAGTAAATAAGAACCAGAGAAAAATGAACTTACCAGTAAGCAGACATAAAGAGCAATCCTATCAATGCCATAGCAACTTTTTGTTGTTTTCTAGGCACAGCCAATTATGACTCAAATTGAGCTGCCTCTTCATTAATCTCTATTTTTTGTGATTCTGCCAAAACACATGTTCTTCTGTTTTTATTTCTATGGTTATCATTTTCAGCCTTACATGTATCCCTACCTAGCAGACATTTTTATCTATTTGGCAGCACCACATCTCTTCTATTCAATTTTGGATAATGACATTCTATTTTTGTTTTGGGAATTATCTCTCTCACTGGATAGAGTCTGATGAAATTAGTAAACAGGTGTTGTTTATGCATCACCAAATAACTCTGAGTGATACACCCCATTAAAATGGTACATACTAAATTTGGCCCTCTGTTTCAGCCTGGCAGGTTTCTTTTCATTTTTTAACAGACACACAAAAGCTGTACATATTTATGGGATTCCATGTGATATTTTGATGCATGTATACACTGTGTAATGTCCAATCATGTTAAATATGGCTATCTCCTCAAACATATTTCTTTGTGGTAAAAACATTCAAAACCCTATCTAGTGTTTTCTAGAGAGAAACACAGTATATTATTAGCATTATCGTTATCACCCTACTGCCAAAACAACCCAAGAACTTCTTGTTCCTATCTAGCTATAACTTGGTACCCAATAATTAACCTCTCACTATCCCTCCACACCTCTTACATTTCCAGCCTTTGGTAACTATCATTATATTTTAACTTCTATGATATCTATTTTTAAGACTCCACATATCAGTGAGACCATGTGACAGCTGTCTTTCTGTTTGGTTTAGTTTACTTAATATAATGAATTCCAGTTACATTCATAGATTGTAAATGAAAAAAAAATTTGTAACTAAATCACACTCCATTGTGCATATATACTACATTATTTCTCTTCTCCTACTAGATTTGGGTCTGGTTTGCTGCAGTTTTTCTAGATTCTTGAGATGCACCGAAAGCTCATTTATTTGGTGCCTTTCCAATCTCTTGATGTAGGCACCTACTGCTATAAACTTTCCTCTTAACACTGCTTTTGCTGTATCCCATAAATTTTGATATGTTGTGCTGTTATCCTCATTTACTTCCAGAAAATTTTTGATTTCTCTTTTGATTTCTTCTATGACCCAGTGTTCATTCAGGAGTGTATTGTTCAATACCCATGTGTTTGCATATGCTCTAGGGATTCCTGAGTTGCTAATTTCCAACTTCATTCCCCTATGGTCTGAGAAGCTGCATCATATGATTCTATACTACATTTTGTTTATCTATTCAGCAGTGGATAGACATTTAGGTTGTTTCTATTTCTCTGCTTTGCTATGGTGTATAGTGCTGCAATAATCACGGGAGTGCAGATATCTCAGTGACAGAATTATTTTTTAAAGATTTATTTATTTATTTGAAAGTAGGAGTTATACAGAGGGGGGGGGTCTCCCATCCTCTGGTTCACTCCCCAATCGACTGCAACGACCAGAGATGTGCTGATCCGAAGCCAGGAGCCAAGAGATTCTTCTGGGTCTCCCATGCGGGTGTTGGGGCCCAAGGACTTGGGACATCTTCTGCTTTCCCAGACCATAGCAGAGAGCTGGATCTGAAGTGGAGCAGCCAGGACTCGAACTGGTGCCCATATGGGATGCTGGCATTGTAGGCGGAGGCTTTACCACACTGCCAACCTCTCAGTGGCAGATTTAATTTCCTTTGGGTACACACACACACACACACACACACTTATGAGAGACAGATCCAGTAGTGGGATTCCTGGATCATATGATAGTTCTTTTTTTTTTTTTTTGAGAAATTCCCCTACTATTTTCTGCAATGGCTATCCTAATTTATATTTCCACCAATGGTGTGCAAGTGTTTCCCTTTCTCCACATCTTCATCAGCACTTCTTATCCTTTTTTTGATTTATTTATTTTTTTACTTTGAAAGTCAAAGTTACAGAGAGATCTTCCATCTGTGGTTCATTCCCTAGATGGTGACAGCACTGGGGCTAGGTCAGGAGTTCCTCCAAAGCCAGGAGCCAGGAGCTTCATACTGGTCTTCCATGTGGGTGGCAGTGGTCCAGCCACTTGGGCCATCTTCCGCTGCTTTCTCCAGGCCATTAACAGAGAGCTGAATCTGAAATGGAGCATTTGGGACTCGAACCAGCACCCTTATGGGATGTTGGGGTTATAAGAGGCAGATTTACCTGGTACACCACAATGCTGGCTCCAGCACTTGTTACCTTCTGTATGCTTGCTAATAGCCTAATTGGCGTGAGGTGATATCTCATTGGGATTTTGATTTGCATTTCCATGATGATTAGTGATGTTGAGTATTTTTTTCATGTACCTGTTCAGCTCACCAAGCTTCTATCTCCTCAAAGTATTTCTTAGTTTTTCAAGTTTCACAACATTTATTTTTAGCTACATCATATGATTTCGATTCTTTTGAATTTGCTGAGACTTGCTTTATGGCCTAGTATGTGGTCAGTCCTAGAGTAGGTTCCATCTACTGCTGAGAAGAATGTAAATTCTTTAAGTGTAGGATGAAAAGTTCTGTAGATATCTGTTAGATCCATTTCAGCTATAGTGTCGTTTAAATCTACTGTTTCCTTGTTGATCTTCTGTCCAGTTGATCTGTCTATTTCTGAGAGTGGAGTATTGAAGTCCCCCAGTACTACTGTATTGGGGTCTAAGTCTCCCTTTAAGTCCCTTAACATATCTTTTAAATAAACCGGTGCCCTATAATTAGGTGCATATACATTGATAATCGTTATATCTTCCTGTTGAATTGATCCCTTAATCATTATATAGTGCCCCTCTTTGTCTCTCTTAACAGTTTTTGTGTTAAAGTTTATTTTGTCTGATATTAAGATGGCTATGCCCACTCTTTTTTCATTTCTGTTGGCATGGTATATCTTTTTCCAGCCTTTCACTTTCAGTCTGCATGCATCTTTGTTGGAAAGATGTGTTACTTGTAAGCAGCAAATAGATGGGTTCTGTTCAATAAATGGTGCTGGGAAAATTGGATTTCCATGTGCAGAAGCATGAAGCACTTTTTACATTTGCTTTTTAACACTCCAGTGAAGTCATGATCAAAATACTGAAGTATTCAGGGCTCCCTTAGTATGTAACTTAACACAAATAAACTATTAAATCCTTATCATCATGACCTCACAAGGTAGTTATTACTATCATCATCCTCATTTCAGATAAGGAAAACAAAGAATAGAGAATTTAGATAATGTATCCCAAGTCACACAGCCAATATGTTGCTGAGCCAAAATTCAAACCCTTGGGGCCAGTGCCGTGGCGTAGCAGGTAAGGCTGCCGCCTGCAGTGCGGCATCCCATATGGGCGCCAGTTTGAGTCCCGGCTGCTCCACTTCTGATCCAGCTCTCTGCTATGGCCTGGGAAAGCAGTGGAAGATGGCCCAAGTGCTTAGGCCCCTGCACCCATGTGGGAAAACCTGGAGGAAGCTCCTGGCTCCTGGCTTCAGATCAGCACATCTCTGGCCATTGTGGTCATCTGGGGAGTGAGCCAGTGGATGGAAGACCTCTCTCTCTCTCTCTCTCTCTCTTTCTCTGCCTCTCCTCTCCTTCTCTCTCTGTGTAACTCTTTCAAGTAAATAATTCTTAAAAAAAAAAAAACCTTCAAATCCTAGTAATTTGGCTCCAGAGTCCTAACTCTTAATCATACACTATACTGTTTCTACAGTGCTCCCTTTAGGTTGATAATCATCTACTAACTATCATTACTTACTTATGGTAATTAAACCAGTTACAAATCTATCCAACTGTATTATCATCCAACCTGTATTAAATCATGTGATGCTCAGGATGGTTTTTGTAATCTGTCCTAATGAAGAAGAGATAGACATTTTCTTGATTTTGTAACTTTATGAAATAAAGAAATAGTTCCAAGGAGCCAGCAGGCATGGAATTGGAGTTGTAGTGAGAAGACCTAGACAGTGCATAGAAGCCTGATTCCCAAGAACAAGAGCACTGGGATGGCTTGAGAGGCACTGAGTGATCAAAATCAAGCACTCAACAGAGGATAGTTATCAGGACCCATAGACATATAAAGCTGCATATTTTTTTTTTACTTTTATACTGAAAAACTCATTAAAACCTTGGTTACTTTGTAGTAGAGATATATGTCCTACAGCTACACAGAAATATCTGACTGGATATATGAGTGAACCTATTGACACTATAATTGCCAAACTGCCCCATGGTACCAATTATAATGTAGAAGATATACAACAAGAAGATGAAGTAAATGAAGTAAGAAGTTTGTTAAGAATTCATCAATTACAAAATGGAGATAGGCTGGCAAGGCTTTATTAATACTACTAAAAGGTCCAATAGTCAGTGGTCCCAAAAAGAACTCTCAGACTCCACATGAAGAAACAGTATAGTCAATTCAACAAAAATCATGATTTTCACCTGGTGGTTTTAGTTGTTGATGCCATAATACCAAGAGGAAAAATCAATTGTCTTCAAATAAGAATACCATCTAATCTAATCTCCAAAACCTAAAACAGTGCTTGGCACATATCAAGCAGTAAAAAAAAAATATTCTGTGAGTGAATTGAGTGTATTAATGGAGCTTACAGTTAACTAAGGAAATCATCATTAAGCACAAGAGTCATGAGCAGTTCAATATGGGTGTGCCAGGCATCTGTGAGAATGTGTTATGTTTGACTTGCTTGGTCCAGCAGCAACTGATGCCCCTTGTAATACTTATAAGAACCATGCTCCCTTCTTTAAGAACAGACTAGTTCTTACCATTCTGCCATCATTCATTCATTCATTCATTCATCCATTCATTGCAAAGCATTTTCAATGCACCAGTATTACATGACATCATGTTATGTACTGTGGCTAGAGAGGACATATAAGTTAACCCATAAGGAGTATTTAGTATATGCCAGACACTGTACTCACCCCATTCCATGTATTAACTCTTTAATTCCTATGGTAATCCCTTGAGATAAACACTAACATTATCTATACAAATAAACAAATTGAGACAGAGAGGTTAGGAGACTCAAACAGGCGGACAAGCAAAGCAACCTTTAATATATGGTGCAATATTTTGCTTTGAGGAGGTTACATACAAAATGAAGTGAAAATGCAGAAGAAGCAGCACTAAATTTGGATGAGTCAGGAAAGGCTAACTAGGTGAAATGGTTTCTCAACTAACACTTGAAGAAGATGTAGCAATTTATCACTGGTAACTGATGTTGGGATAGGGCTGGTCTAGGGAGAGGGGAGGAAATTGGCTTAAACTGGACTTAGACTGAGGTGTAGGCAAAATTTTAGGTTATGTGGCTTTACATGTGTAGCGCAAAGGATATGTATATAGAGGAAAGGGCTCAATGATATGGACATGGTTTTGATTGCCAAGAAGCAGGGAATTTGGTATTTACCTTTTCTATTCATTCCCACCATTTATCTCACAGCCTCACTCACATCTACCTTTCCACATTGATGTCTACTTCAATGCAAGGTGATGATAAGACATCTGTAGCAATGTAGATTCTTCTAAGCCAATAAATAATTTTAGGAGGTAGTACACAGTTTTAAAAACCAGTTAACATAAAGTGCTATTTTAACTGGTAGGTGGATCTGTTGACACCAATGATTATTCATGGCATCAAGACCCAGGGTGCCCGTCAGAAGTTCTCCAGCCTCTACATCTCTCAATTTATCATCATGTATAGTCTTGATGGGAAGAAATGGCAGACTTACAGAGGAAATTCCACTGGCACATTAATGGTATGTAATTAGTCCTTTCAAGAGAATGCATGAGTCTTTTAGAGAGTGATTGAAAGATTTCATCATGGTTAGTAGTGTATTAAGCCTGTGATTATAAAGTAAATTGAAATTATGTTCTTGCAAAAATTAAATGAAAAAAGAAAGGAAATAAGGAGGGGGAGTTAAGGGAAGGAAGAAGGAAGGGAAATATTATTATCTTCTTAGAACTATATGAAATACATGAACTCTGTACTCTATATTGGTAAAAATTTTTTAAAAGATAGATTTCAGATATGGGACAAGTACTCTCAGCTTTTATAAACTTCTCTAAAAGGATTTTTCTACCTTTGGGCAATGGAAGTGATTCTGGACATGTAAACAAAAGACCACTTGTGTCAAGGCTCTCATACATAATAGAAATGAAGAGATTCTCAATTGACAAGTGATTTAGAACTGGTTCATTGATAAGATTGTGGGCTTGCATGTGGATCTCCTAGGTGTAACGTGATAGTGTAGCAATCAGTTGAAACATGGAGCAGGCAGTAGATGAAAAGACTGGAGTTCAGAGGTCAAAACCATGAATGGAGATAAAGATTTGTGTTTTTCATATAAAAGAAAGTGTGAGGATTTGAATTCTCTAGAAGTGAGCTCGAGACTTTTAAACAGGTTTAAAACTGTAGTGGCATTGCCTACTCTTTTTTTAAGATTCATATATTTTCTTGAGACGCATAGTTAGAGAGAGAGAGAGAGAGAGAGAGAGAGGGAGGGAGAGAGAGAGAGAGGTCTTCCGTCTGCTGGTGCCCTCCCCAAGTAGCCCCAATGGTCGGAACTGGGCTGAAACGAAGAAAGGAACCAGGAGCTCCTTCTGGGTGTCTCATATGGGTACAGGGACCCAAGCACTTGGGCCATCTTCCACTGCTTTCCCAGGCCATCAGCAGGGAGCTGGATTGGAAGTGGAGCAGCCAGGACTCAAACCGGCACCCATATAGGATGCTAGCACTGCATTAAACCACAACACCAGCTGACTGTCTACTCTTCCTTTATTTTTATGCTATCTGATGAGTTGATGCACAAAACCATTAATGGAGATAAAGATTGATGTTTTTGACATAAAAGGGTAGAACTTTGAGATCTGAATACTCTAAAGGTGAGCTCAAGACTCTTAATTAAACAGGTTTAAAACCTTAGCAGCATTGTTCACTCTTCCTTTATTTTTATGCTCTCTGATGAATTGATCCACAAATCTTGTCATTTTTTCCTTCATGGTGCCTCTCACATCTCTTCTTTCTGTTTCCATTTATATTACAGTTACCATAGCCCAGGAACCCATCATTAATATATTATATTACATTCTTAATTAGTCTTCTCTCATTTCTAGTCTCTTCTCCAATAAAATTTGTATATAATTTTCAGGATAGTGCTCCTCTGAGTCCCCTACCTAAAACCTTTCAATGTTTTCCTGTTATCTTAAGAATAGACCCTCAAATGACCTTGCACAAAATAATTTTCTTTGCCCTCGTAGAACCATTTTTCTCTTCTCTACCCTGATTCTTGTTCCACAAAGCAGGCCTATATAGAATGCATCAACAGACTACTTTATTCTCCAGGTCTTCACCAACAGGGAGAACTAGCAGATCAGAGGAAAGGAGAAAAGACCGTGGTAGTTATCTTCCTGACTTCCTCCTTATAGAGAAGTTGGCTGTATCTCTGCACTGATGGCCACTGTTCCCATCAGAGTGGTTTTCTGTACCTGTACCAGTTACTATTGCTGTGTACCAAACCACTCCAAATTTAGGTGTGATAAAAACGACAATTTTATTTTGTCTGTGGATCAGTACTCTGGACAGAGTACAGTGGCTTGCTGGGCTCTGCTCCACAATATCTGGGTCCTCAGCATCGTCTTAGGGGCTCCAAATGTTGAGCGCTACAGCTAACAAGATAGAATATTTTCTGAACTAGTCCACTAAATTTTGAAGCATCGCATTTAACAAATCACCCATCTACCCAGATTTCAGGGGAAAAGACATAGACCTTAATTTTCTTTTTTTGCCAGGCACAGTTAGAGAGAGAGAGAGAGAGTTATAGACAGTGAGAGAGAGAGACAAAGGTCTTCCTTCTGTTGGTTCACCCCCCAAGTGGCCGCTCCGGTGCACTGCGCCGATCTGAAGCCAGGAGCCAGGTGCCTCTTCCTGGTCTCCCATGCGGGTGCAGGGACCCAAGCACTTGGGCCATCCTCCACTGCACTCCTGGGCCACAGCAGAGAGCTGGACTGGAAGAGGAGCAACTGGGACAGAATCTGGCGCCCCGACCGGGACTAGAACCAAGGGTGCCAGCACCGCAGGTGGAAGATTAGCCTAGTGAGTCGCGGCGCCAGCCAGACCTTAATTTTCAATGGAGGGAATATCAATGAATTTGTGATAATTTTTAAAAGCCAGTACAAGAATCTCTTTTAGAATTCTACTAATCTCTCCTTATCCCTTAGGGTCAAAGGTGGCTAATATCCTGCCCCACCCTCTTAACTAGTACTTTTATTAAACCTGCCTTAAATTATCTTAATTTGAGTATGCTTTGTTCTTTGTTGGAACCCTGTTTTACATAGTAATTGCTGCTAGAAGAAGCATTAGAAACCAGATTCACAAAAAACAATTCTAGTAGTATATTAATAATATATTCAAACACAAGTAACTGCCATACCTGGGAAGAAGATTGGATGTTGAGCAGTGAGATGTGGTGGTATCACAATTTCTCAGATTATCACCAATTATACTATGGGATGAGTTGTAGACATTGTAAGACATTTAGGAGATTGACAGCACCAATGCTATGGTAACAACTGTAGCATCACTTGATTAGAGTGAACTGTCTTCTTTTTCATCTCTAAAGGGCACACATATAGAAAAAGGAATTGAATATTATGAGCATATGCAGGGTCTTCAAAAAATTCACAGAAAATAAAGTATTATGAAAAAAAACTATGTATACATTTTAAGAATGTTTGCACCAAAATAAACTTACCTTTTAATTTTTCCATAAACCTTTTATACAAAAGAAAACTATACACATAAATGCATAATAGATATTCACATACCTTGTAGTGTTAGGCAAACATGACTAAGAGACTGAGCATGAGTTAGAGTTGCAGTGGCAGTTAAATTCTCAATCTCACCAGGCCTATTACTCTAAAGTAAGGTCACAGATAAGAAGGGGTGGAAATCTTAGACCTGGGATGGAGAAATTCAGGCAGATATGGACAAGACTGAGTTCTGCAAACCTCTAAATCCCCCTGAACCTCCTTTGCCTGAGGAAGCAAACTCTTCCCAGTCTCCGGTGCTTCCATGTTCTTTATCATAATATAGACAAAGGGATTCCAAAACATCTTGACACTCCACAAACACCATGCTTGCCCTCTACATTGATGACATTGTGCTGATACAACCTAGTAAACAGGAAACAGAGATAATCATAAATATTTTTGTGATTGAGATACATATACAAGGCAGGCACGTACACACACACATACACACCACCACCAACAACAAAATAAGCCTCTCTTGGTTCTGACATTAATGTGAATATAGCCCATGCTTCATTGTTAATAACTATTAATTGCACACACTTTTCCTCAAACTTAAAAAGTTTCCTTTTATTCCTGTTTAGAATGGCAACTGAATTTTCTCAAAAGCTTTTCCAGTACTTTTGACATGATTCCATTTCTTTCCTTAATTGTCAAGTTACACTTACATGAAAGAATGTGCTGGCAAGTGATCAACAAGAAACTTACAGGAAAAGTGGAGGGACATTAGACACATGCCCTTGATTTGTAGTATCTGATGATTTCCACGTTATAAAATGTTCCCATCATTCCTGATTTCAATATAGGGCCATGTTGCCATTGAATTCACAGTTGGGAAGAGGTGGGCACAATTGGCTCCAGCTACAATCCTGGGAAAACTTCCCTTGGTCATAGAGTACCAATCATTCAAAACTTTGATGGATCCAATTTGCCAACATTTTACATAGGATTTCTGTATGTTCATTAATGAAATTGGTTTGTCTTTGGAAGTCCCTCTATTTACCAGGTTTTGGCATGAAGGGTATATTACATTTAAGAGTAAATTAGGAAAGCTTCCACCTTTTTCTATGAAATTGTTTCTCTAGAATAGTTTAAGTAATGTATCAATAACATTTAGTGAAAGGAAAAACTACATGAAACTTGTGGTTATGTGGTAATAGGTACTTGACTATGTTGTACATTTCTTATGTAATTATTAATATTCTCCTTTTGTTACCTTCAGTAATTACTACAAATATGTTTGTAGAGTCATATAATTCTTATCTTGCCATATAGTTATAATCTGTGTATGCACATATATAGCTTTCTCTCCATTTTCCACATTTATCAGAATAGGCAAATGTTTGGCTACTGATTGCTCAAAGCATCAACTCTTGGTTTTAAAATCAAAGATAACTTTGAAAGAGCTATTTTCTAATTCATTAATTTCTGTTTAAAACTTTAAAAAAGAAACTCCTTTACATTTTCATTTTTTGTTTCCTAGAATCTGGAGCTGAATGTCTAATTCACTTATCTCAGTGTTTCATTAACAATAAGGACAAAAAACTTAGTGATTAATAACTCTTGACATTTATTCTTTTAACAGTTATTTAATAGTCACTATTTTCTAGGTTTGAATACAGGAATGGGCAAATTATAGTACAAGGATCTGGCCTGAAATCTGCTTTCGTGGGGACTTTGAGTAAAGAATAGTTTCTTACATGGTTAAAGGATGGCAAAAACAGACATGCATGAAAATAAAGACTACATGACAAAGACCATTTGTGACCTGTAAAGACAAACACATTTCTTTTTAAATAGATTTATTTATTTGTTTGTTTGAAAAGCAAAGAGAAAGACAGGGAGACAAAGAGTATGTGTTATCTTCCACCCACTGATGACTGTATTGGATGTGGCTGGGCTAGGCCAGAGCCAAGAGCCCAGAACTCCATCCCACCTGGGTGTCAGGGGCCCAAGCACTTGGGCCATCTTCTGCTGCTTCCCCAGGCACATTAGCAGGGAGCTGGATTGGAAGCAGAGCGACCAGGACTTGACACCACACTCCAATATGGGATGCTAGCAATGTAGGCAGTGGCTTACTGTGCTGTGCCACAATGCCAGCCTCAAGACCAACATATTTCTTTTTTTTTTAATTTTTTGACAGGCAGAGTTAGTGAGAGAGAGAGTTACAGACAGTGAGAGAGACAGAAAGGTCTTCCTTCCGCTGGTTCACTCCCCTAATGGCCACCACAGCCAGTGCTGCATGCTGATCCGAAGCCAGGAGCCAGGTGCTTCCTCCCAGTCTCCCATGCGGGTGCAGGGACCCAAGCACTTGGGCCATCCTCCACTGCCCTCCCGGGCCACAGCAGAGAGCTGGACTGGAAGAGGAGCAACTGGGACTAGTACCCGGCACCCCAACTGGGACTAGAACCCGGGGTGCCAGTGCCGCAGGCAGAGGATTAGCCAAGTGAGCCACAGCGCCGGCCAAGACCAACATATTTCAATCTGACCTTTTATGGCCAAAAATTTGCTTGTTTCAATATTTATTTATTTTTAGAAAGTCAGAGTTATAGAGAGAGAGATAAAGGAGGAGAGAGAGGTCTTCCATGCACTGGTTAACTCCCAATGGCAACAATGGCTGGGGCTGGGCCTGGCCGAAGCCGGGAGCCAAGAGCTTCACCCAGGTCTCCCATGTTGGGGCAGGCTCCCAAGGCTTGGGGCATCTTCTGCTGCTTTCCCAGGCACTTTAGTAGAGAGCTGGATCAGAAGTGGAGCAGCCGGGACTCAAATCAGCACCCAAATGGGATGCGGGCATTGCAGGCGGTGGCTTAGCCCACTATGCCCCAACACCAGCCCCCCAAAATTGTAAACTGTGTCTACTCCACCAGCAGAGCAGGTGCCTAGACAGTTGACATTAACCCTCGGGTGTCAGAACCCTTAGATCCCAGAGCTTGCCTAGTATGTTAATTTCAGCTGTGATCCTCTTCCTCCAGCATTGTGGTTCTCAGAAGTCTTCTCTTTGTCGCATTCATTCACATATAAAATATTCTTTCATAAGCAATATTTCTCAACATAGGAGTATCTCACAATGGGAGGAGGAGAACTCCAACTCCCTTTAAGGATCACTGCTTCACTGCCACCATTGTCAGTAGCTTGCAATATTTTCAATGGTAATTTCGAATTGCTGATGAACATTTAGACAGCAAGGATCTTTGTCCCTGGTTTTCACATTAAAAATCAGACCATTCGGGAGCTGAGAAGTCATTCCGGGTCTCCCACATGAGTGGCAGGAACCCAACTACTCCAGCCATCAGTACCGCTACCTCCTGGGGTTTGCATTGGCAGGAGGCTGGACCAGGAGCCGGAGCCAGGGACGGAACCCAGGTAATCCAATAGGAGATGGATGCAGGTGTCCTACCTAGTGTGCATCTTAAACACTAGGCCAAACGCCCACCCCTGGCATCCATTTTGATATTAAGTGGCATTCCAAGAGAACTCCATCAAATTTGCTGACATCTGGCCTTGGCCCGGCTATCCCTGCTCTTCAGTTTCTGAGGGAGATACACCGATGAGCCAACGGCAAACGGAGAACAAGCAACTTCAGTGTTTTCTAGAACGACGCTTATACACCCGATACCCGACTCCCTGGTACAAGTTTCGGCCGGAGGCCTAATGAGGCTCTGCCTCAAGCACAAATCCAAAACATAACACCAGTCATGCTCCATAACCAACTCCTAAGCATTTTGGTCATACGAGAAAGAGGAAGCTAGCTGCCCAGGCCTGCAGCCCAGGTGGAGAGGACGATATTGAGGGGTGGGGATGGGAAGGGGGAAAGTAACAAGGCAACAAAGGAAAGGAGCATGCACACTTGCACACACAACTTCTGCAGGAAGTTGGACACAGCCTTTAAGGCTCCATAGTAGTACCCTCCCCAGGAGCCCAGTGCCAGCACAGGAGTGGTGGTTGGATCCGTCCCATGTGCCGGGACTCTCCTGTCTTTTCCATCCCCTCAACACTGTTGAGGCAGATGTAGAGGCAGAAAAGAATGCCCTAAAACTCCCTCACTCACCTGGAGGCAGTTAATTCCCAACTTCCCTCCCTACCCCTTCAGGAATACAAAACAAAAGCAAACCATAAGACATCGAAAGCTCTATCCCCAGGCTGCAACCTTAAACCTCACCCCGGAAGATCAGAAGTGTGCATACCTTCAGCCGAGAGAACGCATTTTTGCCAAAGTCGAACGTTTGAGAGTGAGGTTCTATTCTGTAGAATTCCTATGCTCATTCTCAAACTAGGAAAGGAGCTAAGCAGATTTGCATGTAACACGTGGGCCAAAGAGCCTTGGCGATGCGGTGGTTTACAACGGAGCACCACCTCGCTCTTGGGGGACAGGGACACTGCCTTGCCTAGCCGTGATCTCATCACACCAAAGAGGCCGTGCTCCAATTTTGCACACCTGGGTCAAATAAAAGGTGCAGCAAGACCCCCGTTCCGAACAAAAGCTCTAAGGCAGATTACACACACGAGGCGTCAGACAGACCCGCCACCGTTCGCAGCTGTGAAGCCGAGGCAGATTAACAGCGGCGCTGGAACTGTTGCCCTGGACGCGTCTGCCTTCCATGGGACCCCTGTCGGTAGGTACGTCGCCCACGCGCTAGGCACGCCACATCGGCAACTTCCAAAGAAGGAATCCATCCCCGGGCTCCAAGACACCTAGCTCCCTGGCTCAGCTTTTTGACAAACAGGTGAGATAGCCAGCCACGTTTTATAGACAGGGCCCGTCTACATCACAAGTGGGCAGTATCAGCACCGCTTTCTCACGCAACAGGCAAGGTTGCAAGGGATAAAGGGGCCTTCCCGCGCCGCAGCTGGGGCGCAGAAGGAACAAGAGGACTCCGGCGGTCACAGAGGCGCAGGCATAGGCTAAGAGATGCGAGTCGCGGTTAAAATCGGAAAGCGTGCACATTCAGACAGAGCCGTGCGGAAGGAAACCCTGGCTGTGAAATGAAGATGGGAGCGGGAGGCGACGTGCGGTGCAAGTGAGCAAGGGAAGCTACGAAAGGGGTTCTCCTCCCGCGGAGGAGAGCCAGACCCCCGGCAAGATCCTATCACGACCGACGCCTTTGCACGCCCCCCTCCCACGGCCATGGAAACAAGCCCCCGGGATGCGGATGGCTTCGACTCTCCCAGCGGCCGAAGAAGACGCACAACAGGAGAGGCAGGACCTGCGCAGCGTCTGGGCAGCCCCTACCCCCTCGCAAAGGCAGCTGCGCGCGAGAGGTCCGACGACATTCCGCGAAGCCACTCGGTCACGTGAGGGCTCAGATGCCCTGTCCTGAGGGGGAGATGGTCTCCTGCAGAAGGAGGTGCAGCAGGTGGTTCTGCTCCGCGGTCAGCAGCGGCCACAGCTCCACCTGCAGGGCCTTGACAGCTTCCGTGTCCTTTTCGTGGGTAGCCATGACCAAGGACTGCAACAGCAGAAAGAGCTCCTCGGGAAGGTGCCCGCCGCTGTCCTGCCCGTGGCTGTCGAAGGCCTCCCAGGAGTACTTCTCCAGGGTCTGGGCGTGCTCCGGCAGCAGCTTCGCGGGCGGCGGTTGCAGGAGCAGCAGCAGCAGCACTCGGGACACCTCGCAGCGGACCAGCACGTCGGAGAAGGCGCCCAGCGCGGCGGGAGAGGGCGCCGCAGCGCCAGCGTTCGGAGAGAGCAGCGCGGCCGGCGGCGCGAGCTGGGGCGGCGGCGGGGGCGGCGGCGGCGGCGGCGGCGGCGGGGGCAGCAGCTGGTTCGGCGGCGGCGGCGGCGGCGGCTGCTGGTGCGGCGGCGGCGCCGGCTGCTGCACCGGGTGGCTGCCGTGCTCCCGCGCCAGGCACTGCATACGTGTAAAGAGCGCCAGGGCGCCGTTGTAGTCCCGCGCCAGCAGCTGGCAGGAGGCGGCGTCGCCGAGCGCCTGCAGCGCGGCCAGGGGCAGCTGGGGCAGCTGGAGCTGCGCGGGCGCGCTGGAAGTGTCCGGCGGCGGCGGCCGGCTGGCCCAGGTCGCGCAGGGCGGCCGCCAGCTCGAGGCAGAGGGCGGCGGCGGCAGCTGGCTGTCCTAGCTCCAGGTGGAGGCGCACGGCGGCGCCCAGGGCGCTGGCGGCGGCCTGCAGCGGCTCCCCATAGGCGGCGGGGCAGCCGAGGCGCTGGCGCGCGTCGCACTCCTGCCGCAGGAAGAGGCGGGCGGCCTCGGTGAGGGCCAGCGCCTCCCCGGGCCCGTGGAAGAGCGCCTGCTGGCAGCGCGCCACAGCCAGCTGGCACCAGGCCGCGTACGGCAGGCACTCCTGGGCGCGCAGCTCGCGGCCCAGCTGCCCGAACTGCTCGCCGGCCTCGGCCACGTTGGGCTTCCGCAGGAACCGCTTCTTCAGCTTGTTCGACACCAGTCTGTAGCGGGCCAGGAAGTCGCCGGGCTCGGGCCCCGCGCCCGCGCCGCCGCCCATGCCTGCCGCGGCCGCCGCCATCTTGGCCGCCCCTGGCGCGTCCCGGCGCGCTGACGCGGCGGGCGGACCGGCCGGCACCGGCGCTGACGCGGCGGGCGGACCGGCCGGCGCCCGGGGCCCAGCCCCTTCCCCCCACGCCGCGCGCTGCCCCGGGACCTGACGGGCCGAGGCCGAAGGCGGGAGCGGGGGCGGGCCCGGCCGGGCGGGCAGCCCGCCGCGCGCACACATTCGTGAAGGGACTCGGGGCGGGGCCTGGCCCCGTTCCCGCTCCTCCGAGCGAATCGGCCGCGGGCGCGGACTGCTGCCTGCTGCCCGCTGGCTTCCTCCGTTCCCGCACAGCGCCTCACGGCGGTTTCCGCTGAGCGTGACCGGCTCTGGTCTGATAACCCCGCAACACCCTGCCTCCGAATTTCTGCTCCTGGGGCCTTTCCGCCCGCCCCTGCAGGCTCCGTCCAGGAGCAGCCTTGCCCCGACGGGAGCCCGTGCCCACCCAGGCTCCGTCCACCTCCCCAGCCCCGCAGGGTCGCCCGGGCCAGTCGTCTGCCCCGTCACGCCGCCGCGTTTCCGCCTCAGTCCAGGTCTTGAGCTGCAGCCCCACAGTCGCCACCACTCTGGGGACATAGCCAGGTAGGCCCCGATTTGGCACAGGGCCAACATGGGCATCCTATGTACCCATACTCTGGCCAGCACTTCCTACCCAGGGCCCTCTGGCCCTCCACACTCCCCTGTAACCTAGCACCCCCTTACTCTAACCACAGCCTCCTCCCACCCAGCACCCCCTGCCCTCCACTCACCCCTCCCACCCAGCACCCCCTGCCCTCCACTCACCCCCCCACCCAGCACCCCCTGCCCTCCACACACCCCTCCCACCCAGCACCCCCTTACTCTAACCACAGCCTCCTCTCACCCAGGACCCCCTTACTCCAACCACAGCCTCCTCCCACCCAGGACCCCCTTACTCTAACCACAGCCTCCTCCCACCCAGCACCCCCTTACTCTAACCACAGCCTCCTCCCACCCAGCACCCCCTGCCCTCCACACGCCCCTCCCACCCAGCACCCCCTTACTCTAACCACAGCCTCCTCCCACCCAGCACCCCCTTACTCTAACCACAGCCTCCTCCCACCCAGCACCCCCTGCCCTCCACTCACCCCTCCCACCCAGCACCCCCTTACTCTAACCACAGCCTCCTCCCACCCAGCACCCCCTTACTCTAACCACAACCTCCTCTCACCCAGCACCCCCTGCCCTCCACACGCCCCTCCCACCCAGCACCCCCTTACTCTAACCACAGCCTCCTCTCACCCAGCACCCCCTTACTCTAACCACAGCCTCCTCCCACCCAGAACCCCCTGCCCTCCACACACCCCTCCCACCCAGAACCCCCTGCCCTCCACTCACCCCTCCCACCCAGCACCCCCTTACTCTAACCACAGCCTCCTCCCACCCAGCACCCCCTGCCCTCCACACGCCCCTCCCACCCAGCACCCCCTTACTCTAACCACAGCCTCCTCCCACCCAGCACCCCCTTACTCTAACCACAGCCTCCTCCCACCCAGCACCCCCTGCCCTCCACTCACCCCTCCCACCCAGCACCCCCTTACTCTAACCACAGCCTCCTCCCACCCAGCACCCCCTTACTCTAACCACAACCTCCTCTCACCCAGCACCCCCTGCCCTCCACACGCCCCTCCCACCCAGCACCCCCTTACTCTAACCACAGCCTCCTCTCACCCAGCACCCCCTTACTCTAACCACAGCCTCCTCCCACCCAGAACCCCCTGCCCTCCACACACCCCTCCCACCCAGAACCCCCTGCCCTCCACTCACCCCTCCCACCCAGCACCCCCTTACTCTAACCACAGCCTCCTCCCACCCAGCACCCCCTTACTCTAACCACAGCCTCCTCTCACCCATCACCCCCTGCCCTCCACTCACCCCTCCCACCCAGCACCCCCTTACTCTAACCACAGCCTCCTCCCACCCAGCACCCCCTGCCTTCCACTCACCCCTCCCACCCAGCACCCCCTGCCCTCCACTCACCCCCCCACCCAGCACCCCCTGCCCTCCACACACCCCTCCCACCCAGCACCCCCTTACTCTAACCACAGCCTCCTCCCACCCAGCACCCCCTTACTCTAACCACAGCCTCCTCCCACCCAGCACCCCCTGCCCTCCACACGCCCCTCCCACCCAGCACCCCCTTACTCTAACCACAGCCTCCTCCCACCCAGCACCCCCTTACTCTAACCACAGCCTCCTCCCACCCAGCACCCCCTGCCCTCCACTCACCCCTCCCACCCAGCACCCCCTTACTCTAACCACAGCCTCCTCCCACCCAGCACCCCCTTACTCTAACCACAACCTCCTCTCACCCAGCACCCCCTGCCCTCCACACGCCCCTCCCACCCAGCACCCCCTTACTCTAACCACAGCCTCCTCTCACCCAGCACCCCCTTACTCTAACCACAGCCTCCTCCCACCCAGAACCCCCTGCCCTCCACACACCCCTCCCACCCAGAACCCCCTGCCCTCCACTCACCCCTCCCACCCAGCACCCCCTTACTCTAACCACAGCCTCCTCCCACCCAGCACCCCCTTACTCTAACCACAGCCTCCTCTCACCCATCACCCCCTGCCCTCCACTCACCCCTCCCACCCAGCACCCCCTTACTCTAACCACAGCCTCCTCCCACCCAGCACCCCCTGCCTTCCACTCACCCCTCCCACCCAGCACCCCCTGCCCTCCACTCACCCCCCCACCCAGCACCCCCTGCCCTCCACACACCCCTCCCACCCAGCACCCCCTTACTCTAACCACAGCCTCCTCCCACCCAGCACCCCCTGCCCTCCACACGCCCCTCCCACCCAGCACCCCCTGCCCTCCACACACTCCTCCCACCCAGCACCCCCTGCCCTCCACACACTCCTCCCACCCAGCACACCCTGCACACGCCCCTCCCACCCAGCACACCCTGCCCTCCACAAGCCCCTCCCACCCAGCACCCCTGTCCTTCACCACCCTTTTCGGGGACCCTGCAGACCCCCACATCCCAAAACCCTGTCCTGGTGCGAGTCCCTGCTCCTCCTGGACTTCCCGGACGCCTGTACCCTCTGACCAGCATCCCTCCCGCCCCCACGCTGGGTTGCAGCCCTGTCCCTCTGAGGACGCAGAGTAACTGAGGCAAGCTGGTGGTTTGCTTCAACAATTTAATCACAGAATGCTGTCGAGGCACCGGTCAGGGACGGCCCGCCCGGCCTGGAGCGAGGGGTGGCCCAGGGCTCTGTGCGTGGACGCTGGCGGGTCCGCCGTGGGCTGGACAGGCAAGGATATGGTGTCAGCGGCTACTCCGGGCCCCGGCCCGGGGCCACTTGCGAGATGGTCGCAGTGCCGAAGAAGCCGCTGAGCAGCCCGTGGTTGTGGACCGCCATGTCCACCAGGTGAGGCGTGATGCGCCGGCTGCCGATGTTGTGGGCCTCGTTGCCCGCCAGCTCCAGCACCTTGGCTGTCAGGAATTCGATGGTGGCAGCCAGGAACACAGATGCGGATGAGCTCAGGCGCTGAGCGTAGTGGCCCTGCCGCAGACGGCGCTCCACTTGGCTCACAGAGAAGGTCAGCTGGGCTCGGGCGGGTGCGGGAGCGGGCCCGCCGTCTGCGGTGGGAGGATCCTCGACGGCTGTCACTGCTCGGCATGGAGGACCCTGGACGGCTGTCATCGCTCGGCATGGAGGACCCTCGACGGCTGTCACCCCTCGGCATGGAGGACCCTGGATGGCTGTCACTGCTCGGCATGGAGGACCCTGGACGGCTGTCATCGCTCGGCATGGAGGACCCTTGATGGCTGTCACCGCTCGGCATGGAGGACCCTCGACGGCTGTCACCCCTCGGCATGGAGGACCCTCGACGGCTGTCACCCCTCGGCATGCTGAGCGCTGGGGACTGCCTGGCTTGGCTCGCTCGGCTCGGCCTCCTCCGGCGCCACCAGCCGTTGCCTCCTGAGGCGGTCCGCGGTAGCCTAGAGACCACCGAGCGGGCACTTCCGGTGATAGTGAAGATGGCTGCCGTTTGGGCCGCGTGCCGCTGGGCCGCGCGACGCGCTGTGGGCGGTGCCAACTCACCCGCATCTCTTGGCGGCAACTGTCGCTTTCCACCACGTGCAAGCCTCCTCAGAAGGATTAAACGGGGTGGGGGGGGGGAGGCATGAGAGCAACTCCGTGATGTCCAGAATAGCTGCAGTGCTGCGCAGCCGTCTGTTTCCAACACACTTCACTACACCTGTCCCCAAAAAGAAGCCCCTGCAGCCATGAACAAGTCACTCTCCATCTCCCCCTCCTTTCTCTCCACTCCCCCTTCTCCCCTTCCTCTGATCCTAGTCATCCCACTTCGCCAGTGTCTCCAGCAACCAGTAACTGGCCCTATAGTACACAGCAGTTTTCCTATTCTGCAGGTGTCCTGCGGGTGGACTCATAATAAATGTTGGGCCTCTTGTGCCCTGTTGCTTCCCCTTCACATAACGTTTTCATTGTGGTCATCCTCTTTGTGACATTAAGCTGTACTTTGTTCCTTTTCATACCATTGGATCCTATACCACATATTTAACTTCTTTGGGAATCACCAAACTGATTTCCACAGCAGCCCTACTCTTTTGTATTCCCAGCAAAAGAACTTGCTTTCTTTTCCTCTGCTGTAGTTTCTAGTATCCATCCTAGTGTGTTTGGAGTCCTAGGTCATGGTGCTTTGGACTTGGCATTTCCCCAGTGCCTAATCATATTGAACACCTTTCCAGATACTTCTTGGTCCTTGAGATATTCACTCTGAAGGGAAGTCTACACAAATCCTTTGCCTATGTTTTCATTGCATTCACTATCTTTTCGCTGTGGAGGCCTAAGGTTTCTATATATTCCTCATTCCTTGTCAGGTATGTGGCTTAAAGTGCGTTTCCCATCCTATGGGTGGTCATTTTCAAAATAGAGTGCTTTCTTGTACAAAAGATTTTAATTTGGATGAACTGTATTTTGTCAAAAGAAAAATAAGTTCTGTGGCTGTACTTTTGGTGACGGAACAGTCACCTATTCCAAGGTCATGGAGACT